TGGTCCCAAACTCCCAACCTCAGGTGATCCACCTGCCTCAGCCTCCCAAAGTGCTGGGATTACAGGCGTGAACCACTGCGCCCGGCCTTCATTCTCTTATTGAAACTTTATCAAATAATACTTCCTGAAAAAGAGAGTCATAAAAGCAGAATTACTAAACCAAAGGGTAGAAAGGCTATACCACTTTACATGACACATGAGCAGAAGCACCTGAGTACTAATCTCTGGTAAAATAATCTTTCTCTAAATCTCTGCAAATTTAATTCATAATAAATAGTATTATTGCTTTAAATGTACGCTGCATTGCTAACCTGTGAGTTTGAACATTTTTCTCATGTTTACAAGCTATTTAAATTTTAAATTTTTTTGGTGATTCATTCAAGTTTTCAGTACATTTTCCTAACAGATTTAGAGTTCCTTATCAATGTGAATGAGGTTTTTTGTTTGGTTGGTTTTTTTGAGACAGTCTCACTCTGTCACCCAGGCTGGAGTGCAGTGGTGCAATCTCAGCTCACTGCAAACTCCACCTTCTGGGTTTAAGCAATTATCCTGCCTCAGCCTCCTGAGTAGCTGGGAATACAGGCACACACCACCATGCCTGGCTAATTTTTTTATTTTCAGTAGAGATGGGGTTTGAACATATTGGCCAAGCTGGTTTCAAACTCCTGACCTCAGGTGATCCATCTGCCTTGGCCTTCCAAAGTGCTGGGATTACAGGTGAGCCACCACACCTGGCTAAGTTTTTTTGTTTCGTTTTTAAAATAAATTATGTCCATTGACTCTGCTGTATCTGTCAAAACCTTTTTTCGCCAGTATGTTGTAAATAACTTTTAAAACAAGCTATATAGCAACATGAGGCTTTTTTTTTAACATAAGATTATTGGGGAAGAGGCATATATGCATACCAATGCTGCTAGAACTACTCAAAATACTTTTAGAATCAATTTTTTAAAGTACTATCCAAAATGCTACTTAAATGTAATAAAACAACTGTTATCCTTTATTTATGTAATTACAGTCGACCCTTGAGCAACACAGATTTGAACTGCAAGCATCCACTTAAAGGTGGATTTTTTTTCTCTCTAAGAGACAGGGTCTTGTTCTGTCATCCCAACTGGAATACAGTGCCAGGATTACAGCTTACTGCAACATCTATCTAACTCCTGGGCTCAAACAATCCTCCCATCTCAACGCACACCACTGTGCCTGGCTAATTTTTAAATTTTTTGTAGAAACAGTGTCTCACTATGCTGCCCAGGCTGGTCTCAAACTCCTAGCTTCAAGCGGTCTTCCCACTTTGGCCTCCCAAAGTACTGGGATTATAGGTGGGAGCCACTATGCCCAGCCCCATGGATTTTTTTCAATAAACATGTTCAGAAAAATTTTTGGAGACTTGTAACAATTTGAAAAATAACTTGCAGACAAACTGTGTAGCCTAGAAATGTCTAAAGAAGAATAAAAATGTATGTCATAAATATTTAAGATACGTAGATAGATACTAGTCAATTTGTCATTTACTACTATAAAATATATACAAACTATGAAGTTAAAATTTATCAAAACATAAACATACACTTACAGGCTGTAGTTGGTGCCATTCACAGTAAAGCAAAATGTAAACAAATGTAAAGATACAGTATTAAATCATAACTGGGCCAGGCAGAGTGGCTCACCCCCATATTCCCAGCACTTTGGGAGGCTGAGGCAGATAGTTCGTTTGAGTCCAGGAGTTGGGAGACCATCCTGGGCAACATGACGAAACTCTGTCTCTATAAAAAATATATAAATTAGCTGAACATGGTGGCATGTGTCTGTAGTACCAGCTACTCAAGAGGCTGAGGGGAGAAGATCACTTGAGCCCAGGAGGGAGAAGCTGTAGTAAGCCATGATCATGCCACTACACTCTAGCCTGGAAGACAGAACAAGACTCTGTCTCAAAAAATAATAACAACTGCATAAAATTAACTGTAGTACATACTATAAACTGTAATAATTTCATAGGCACCTCTTGTTGGTTTTGCAACGAGCTCAAATGAACGCTCTAAGTATCCACTTAAAACACCAGGTAGACTGGGCACAATAACTAATACCTGTAATTCCAACACTCTGGGATCCCCGAGGTGGGGAATCACAAGGTCAGGAGTTCAAGACCAGCCTGGCCAACATGCTAAAACCCTGTCTTTACTAAAAATACAAAAATGAGCCAGATGTGGTGGCAGGTGCCTATAATCCCAGCTACTCGGAAGGCTGAGGCAGGAGAATTGCTTGAACTCGGGAGGCGGAGGTTGCAGTGAGCCGAGACTGTGCCTCTGCATGCCAGCCTGGGCAACAGAGATGCCATCTCAAAAAAAAGAAAGTTATATATGGATTTTCAACTGTATGGCGGGGTCAGTGCCCCTAATCCTCGTGTTGTTCAAGGGTCAATTGTATACTAGAAACAGCCAATAAGTTGACTACAATAAATGGTTGAGAAGATGTAATAGAGCAAGATGGATTACTGTTTTTCACCTTGAGATAAACCAAGGTATTGAAACATGTAGTAACTTATTTTTATTTTTTAAGTGTAAATTTAATATATATAAATTGTGGCTGGGCATGGTGGCTGCCACATGTAATCCTGGTACTTTGGGAGGCTGAGGGTGGATCACTTGAGGTCAGGAGTTAGAGACCAGACTGGCCAACATGGGCAAATGCTGTCTCTAACTAAAAAAAAAACCCCAAAAAATTAGCTGGGCATGGTGGCACATGCCTGTGGGAGGTTGAGCCAGGAGAAATGCTTGAATCCAGGAGGCGAAGGTTGCAATGAGCAAAGATCACCCCAGTGCACTCTAGTCTGAGCGACCCTGTCTCAAAATATATTTTATAAATAAATAATTATATTTATCTATTTGTGTATTTATATGTATACATCGTAACATATAGGAAAGTATAAAAAACCTAATGTTGGCTGGGCAGGTGACTCACGCTTGTAATCCCAACACTTTGGAAGGCCGAGGTGGACAGATCATGAAGTCAGCAGATTGAGAGCATCCTGGTCTACACAGCAACACCCCCATCTCTATTAAAAGTACACAAAGCCGGGCGCGGTGGCTCAAGCCTGTAATCCCAGCACTTTGGGAGGCCGAGGCGGGTGGATCACGAGGTCAAGAGATC